AATATAATAAATATTTTGATTATGTACAACAACAGTGTAAATATTTCTCGCAAGAAATTTTTAAAACTGTCTCCATTTTGTTCGATACACTTTCCGCACGTCTATGAATGTCTTGTGTGGCATTCGCTACGAACTGTGGGTTTAATATTGTGCAAATCTCTCTGATGCGTTGTTTCAAGAGACCTTCGTCTCTCCATTCATCAAAGTAAACATTTCTTTGATGAAATCCCAAAGGAAATAATCAAATCAGGCGGTCTTGGAGGCCATCTTATTGGGCCACTATTCCCCATCCAACGGTTTTGAAATATTATTTCTGTTAGCAAATATCTACGTTTCTCATAGATTGATTCAACGGTAAGTTATTTAAATAAACTTCTTTCATTTGCCGCAGAATACGTAAATATTGCTCGCCTTTCAGGTTGATACCTACTAGAAAAATCCAATTATGGTATTTTCTCCACAATATGATTAATACTGCACTGCGAAATACTAAAATTTGATTCAAGCTGTCTCTATTTTCAACAACAACTAACAAAACATGGAGCAACGTGTCATCGTCTTCGGTAATATTTGCAAATATTCTCTTTTTCAGTTTAAACTAACCCCAATTTTTTAAATTATTAATAATTCGTTTCGAATACCTCCAGTACAATTTATTTTTCAAGCAGCAAGATTTGAATTAAATGGATACATAGATAGTTTCTGACTTATTTTACTAAATCGTCGCCTGAGAACTTGTTTGATCTACAGACCAGGGCGCACTCAGGCCAATTTCGACTCTAAAAGCATTGAGAAACGATGTGATTTCAACGCCATGTTCCGTGATCTGATACACATGCTAACCGGTTTCGACCATAATTTCTACGGGAAAGAATTGCTTAGTTGGCCCTTATAACGAATAAGTGAACTATTTTTTATGTTTGGTACTACAAAAAATTAATCGTTGTTGGAATCGTTATCATGCAATAATTTTTTTTCGGAAAATTGTAGTTATTTTTATCTTTTGGAAACGTTAGGACTTACTTTGCATGAATTTTTAATTATTTTTTAATTAAAATTTTTAGCAATAACGCAACAAGGTTAAACCGCTTTCACTGATATTCGTTCATTTGTTGATTTCTTTTTGTTTTAATAATGTTCAGCGAAATAAACAGGGTCCAACCATAAATCTTATTTTCATTTCGTGCTACAATTAATTTTTAAAAGTAAGAGCAAAATGTTTGAGTGTTGTAGAAGTGTCACTAAAGATTCTGCAAAGCCGATTTCTTTAAAACAGTACATAAACGTCTCAACGATTTAGTACATAATGTTCCCTAATGATAAAATTTACATTTCAAAGCTCTTGACAACTGGTTTACCTGAGTAGTGAGTGTTACAATCATACATATAAAGAAGAGCAGCATGATAATAGAAAACAAATTATTCCGTTATGTACATGCACCTTAATATAAAATAAAATATCAATTTTTCGAAATTTTAGTTTTGGGATTTTTCAGTTTATTTATTATTCAATTTTTGGATTATATAATTTCTCAATTTTTCAATTTCTTGATTTTCAGTTTCGAGTTCTCAATTTTCTGATGTATCAGTTTTACGTTTTTTCATTTTTTGGCATTTATAAAGTCTCAATTTTTCATTTAATCGATGTTTTGATTACCTTTCTTGATTTTTGACTGTTTCAATTTTCCAGATTTTCAATTCTGCAATTTTTCAATTTTTCAAATTTTTGATTTTCCCATTTTTCTATTTTTCTATTTTTTAAGGTTTCAATATTTAGACTTCATGCTTTTGATTTTTCGATTTCTCAATTTCTCATTTTTCTTTTATTTTTCAATTTTTCGAAATTTCAGTTTTGGGATTTTTCAGTTTATTTATTATTCAATTTTTGATTTTACAGTTTCTCAATTCATGGTTCATTTTTACGTTTTAAAATACTTCTCCCCTTTAATTTTACCATTTTTAAATATTCCGATTTTTCAATTTTTCAAATTTGACTTTTATAAACTCTCAGTTTTTAAATATTTCATTTCTTCAATTCATCAATTTTCCAATTTTTTAAGGTTTTGATTTTTTGACTTCACTTTGTTGACATTTTCATTCCTTATTTTTTCAATTTTTTAATTTCTCAGTTTTTGGATGTTTCAGTTTTGAGATTTTTCAGTTTTTCTATGTTTCAGTTCTTCTTTCATTTTTCAATTTTTCGAAATTTCAGTTTTGGAATTTTTCAGAATTTTATTATTCAATTTTTCGATTTTCCAACTTCTCAATTTTTAAATTACTTGATTTTCAATTTTTCGATTTCTCAATTTTCCGATGTTTCAGTTTTACGTTTTTTCAATTTTTCTCCTCTTCAATTCTAAGATTTTTAAAATTTCGATTTTTTAATTTTTGAATTTTCTAAATTCTCAATTAATTTCGATTTTTGATTTTCCCTTTTCTTGACTTTCGACTGTTGCGATTTTTCAACTTTTCGAGTTTCTGATTTTTCAATTTTTGGATTTTAAGGTTTCGATTTTTCGATCTCACTTTTTTGATTTTTCGAGTTCTCAATTATTCAATTTTTTAGATTTTCAATTTTTGGATATTTCAGTTTTGGGATTTTTTAGTTTTTCCATTCACCAGTTTTTCTTTCATTTTTCAGTTTTTCGATATTTCAGTTTTGGGATTTTGCAATATTTCGATTATTTGACTTCTGGATTTTTCGATGTCTCGATTTTAAATTTCAGATTTTTCAGTGTTTTGATGTTTTCATTTCTCAATTTTTAAAATTTTAGATTTTTCGTTGTCTGGATTTTTCATTTCAGTTCTTCGATATTTCAATTTTTCATATTATCGAATTTTTCAAATGTTTCGATTTCTTAATCTTTCGATTTTTCGACTTCCTGGTTTTCGACTTTTTTTGCAATTTTTCATTTTTTTCAAATTTTCGATTTTTTAATTTTTAATTTTTTAAATTTTTCTATTTTTCAACGTTTTGATTTCCCGATTTTGTGAGATATGGATGTTTCGGTATTTTGATTATTCATTTTCTCGATTTAACAGTTTTTCAATTAAAATTTTTGGATTTTTTATTTTGACCTATTCGACTTCCCAGTTTTTTTATTTTCCGTTTTTTCGTTTTTTTATTTTTCCAGTTTAGATTTTCAATTTTGCAATTTTTCAACTTTTTTAACTTTTCGTTTTTTCGATTTTGGCATTCGGTTTCTCAATTTTTCGATTGTTTTGACCGAATGACTTTTCGATCTTTTGATCTTTCGATGATTTCAAATTTGCGATTTTTTTTTTTGATTTCTAAATATATCGAGATTTGGATGTTTCAATGTTTCAATTTGTCGATTTATCAATTTTTCAATTTTTGACTTTTCGATTTTTCGATTTTGGTCTATTTTGGTTTCTGAATTTTTCGACCTTTCAACTTCACGATTTCTCGATTTTTTGATTTCTCGATTTCTCGGTTTTTCGATATTTTATTTTCGGATTGTCGGTCTTTCCATGTTTCGATTTAATTTTCCAATTTTTCAATTTTCGATTTTTTAAATTTTACGGTTTCGTTTTCTCGTTTTTTGGTTTTTAAATTTTAGATAATTATGTATTTGAATTTTCCATTTGTTCGATTTTTTGATGTTTCGATATTTCGGTTTTTAGTTCATCGATATTTCTATTTTTCTATTTTTCAATTTTTTAAATTTCGCATTTTTCGATTTTTCAATTTTTCGGTATTACGATTTCTTTGTTTCAATTTCTTGACATCTTGGTTTTTCGATTTGTAGATTTCTCGATTTTTCAGGTTTTCGATTTTTCAAATTTTCAGTTATTTTAATATTTCATTTTTTTTTCTCAGCGTTAATATCATACAATGTATCGAAAATAACCACAAAAATTGTCACTAAAAACATTTGAAAATTCATACAAAGTGAAACACAATGTTCCCAAAACATAAAAATAACTACATTTTCCCGAAAAAAATCCTTTGAATGATTACGATTTCAATAAGTAGTTGCATGTCAAACAGTGATGTGATATTGAAACATGTGACATGTGATATTATATTTGTAAATAAAACCATCTAAATATGTACCAAAAATGTTCACTTATTCCTTGTAAATTCCCGCAGAAATTATAATCCAATTCAGCCAAATCGCTTAGAATCGACATTGGCCTGAGCGCGCTCTGGTCCGTAGATCAAACAAGTTCTCAGGCGACTAAATAATTTTTTAGTTTTTGATTTTAGAATATAGGTTCTGTTTGTTGTTTTTTTATAACAAAAGCAAGCTTTCCATTTATAAAAAAATATACCGACTGTTCCATTTAAAAAAATGAAGTTGGTGATTCCGTTCTGTATTTCAAAATTGATTTGTATATGCTACTTAAAAATGTTTCGTTTCACTTTTATTTGTACGACAAACATTTTCATGGAATATTTGTGTCAACAAAAATTTAATTAAAAAACAAAAGCCTAGCTTATTCTAACTCGAACTTTCTATTGTATGGTATGTGGAGGCAGAAAATACAAACAAAAACACATTTTGTTCATATAACGCCCTGCAATTTTTAAATTAATTACACAATGCGACAATAACAGTGTTTGTATAGTCAATGAAACCACATGGTTTTGTCGTTTTAGACAAGTTATATCAAAATCAAAATATACTGCTGTCTATAAATACAAACACGAGTGTGTTACGTAAATATTGCCAGATTCGTTTACCTAACAAATTGCGCAAAAGTACATTACATTTCAATAAACCCACAAAATGAATGGCAGTAAAATGAATAGAATATTTGTGTTTGTACTTTTGCGATGACTGATATAATTGTAGTGGAAGCATACTTCCCAACATCATTTAAAGAATATTTCAACTATTTACAAAAGTTATAGTTGATATAAGAGCACAAGACGCACTATTCTCAAAAGCTTAATTTGAAGTTATTCGAACAAACACCTCGCTGCTCAGACCGGTAACCGGGTTTTTCAGACTTATTTTAAAAAACAATAATGTCAACCTTGATGAAGACCACAGTTGGATAAATAACACACTCTCATCGCTGCAACATGACTGAGAAGGTGCTTATACTCCTCGTGTTGAGTGTTCTTGTTGTAGTACAGTCCGGTAAGTAAAATCTTGCTAACAGTAAAAATTATGGTATTTTGGTATTTTATTGTAGCTCCAACATGTCCTGAAGGAGAAGAGTTCAGACAAAGCGGTACTGCCTGCCAAACTTGCGAGAATTATGCCATTGTCTTCTGCCTCCCGTCAGAGGAGAAAAAATGTAACTGTAAAGTTGGATACGTAAGGGATAACGACAATGGCAATAAATGTGTGGCGAAAAAAGACTGCACGAAGGATTATTTCCATATAAATACCTAGGATTTTTATCCTTCATTTTATCTAAGTAAAACAAAAATAAGACAGTTTTTATTGTATTTGCAATGACTTTTGATTTATATATATTTTCGAAGAATATATAAACTTGCATTCCACATACTTGTGTTATTACTTATTATGAACAACTTTTTTTCCCTTCTAACCTGACCTGATGTGTTAATTTATGGGGTGATTTCTTCGTAACAATTAAAATTTATATTAGCAGACAAAAAATAAATAACAAAAATAATAAAACCACGTTATTAAAATAATTTCGTAATTTTTACAGTCGTTTCAATAAAAAAATCGTCTGTGGGTATTTACACAGACCTTTTCACGACCCTGAAGTCCAGTCTAACAAATCCAGTTTCTCCGAAAAATTTTAAAATTTGATTTTGCAAATATCAATTTTTTATGGTAATCCATATAAATTAAAATGAATATATGTATCAAATGTAAAAGGACAAATGATGAAGCGTGCATACCATCAAGTGAATTTCGCCTAACAAAATTTTGTAATGCATAATAAAAAATATGAATTTATTTATAAACCACAAATGTAGATTCATATTTTCCCCATTTTAGATACGATTTATGCGGCAAGATTTTGAGATTTCATCATATTTTTTTTTTTTTTTTTTGGTGGGGATAAACAGATAAATTCTCATTAAAATTTCAGAGCATTCGGTTTCGTGGTTTCAAAGTTAAGTTGTAGAATGAAATTTAGTATGTTAAATTGTGAGATGACGTCATCACATTGTTGGTAGGGACGATCAGACAAATTTTGGTTAGCGTTGTATCATATATGTACATGATTTTTCTAAAAAAAATATAAAATTTGATCACAATCAAAGTAGTTTAGACGCAGACGAACGACTGATAGACAGACGGAAACGGGAGACTTATTTTTTCATACTTTAGGGATCATGAAGTAATGAGAAAACATGAAAGTAGCTTACGCTCGGGATGTATCAAGTTATAGTATACCGTATTTAAATATTTGGATGATTTATGGCAATCCTAAAGCGACGGAATAATATTCATTACATTCATAATAACAACAGAGATCCCTGCCGCTATCACCATCCCGCAACTTTATTATTAGTTCCCACGCATGATTTGCACGAAATTCGCCCTTTATTGGTTTATTGTTTCTTCATAACGATTTTATTTTCTCTAAATTCCCCTATATTTTTGATGTAGTGGAACTCGAATTTGTTAGCCTTCAAATGCTTACCCATCACAGAGAACTAGGTCATCAATCTTGTGTTAATATAATAAGTCGCTATATAACGAGATACAGTAGATAGAACAGTATAAAGGAGTATAGATAGAGTGGTATGTGGTGAAAACTAATAGAATAAACTAGACTGAGTTAGTAAGTATATGTTTCACAGAACCAGCTGCAAGTTGACTCTTTCAAGACACTTCGCGGATCGATCGCTTTATAAACTAGTGTCTGTGGAAAAATTTTTCAAAGTATCGTTTTAATACTGAATTCCTGTAATTCTTCGTGGATAAAAGATTCTATTTAGAGCTTAGAACAGTTTCCAGAATCTTACATACCTGCACGATGTCGACGATGTAAATGTACGTTCGATATAGAAATACTTAGTTTTTCACTACGGGTTGTGTATATTTCTCCAGACATGGGATCAGGAGCTAGAATGTTTTTTTTATTTTGTGGTGACCGAATTTGAATCAAATTTTCACGCTGAAATTAATTAACAGAGGTGCGAAATCACATTTGAATAATTTGAATTTAAAAAAAAGTCAATAAAAAAATCGTTGAAGATAGGCAACCATGTGCACGTTAGCGTTTTCGTGTAGTGGGTAGTAGTCTGCTTGAGATTTTAGTTAGAGGGCAGTTAGTAGACAAGATGGCGGCATGGCGAAGAATGGGGAAAGCGTTATAATGGTTTTGGTTCTGTGTGTAGGAGCATGGTGAAAAGGACGTTTTAAGTTAGCTAGGTTAAATTAGTTGGCTTGGTAGTTAATAACAGGGAGAAGGCCTTTGTGTAACGACAATTAATCCTAACAACGACGGCGCCCAGCTTTCCCCAACACGTACAACTAATTCTTGCGGCTTTCTAACCGGAAAAGTGTGTGGAAATGACTAACACCAGGTAGGGTTTCTCTATAGTTTATTTACAAACGGATATCTTACACGTGGAACAGGAGACGGTACCCATCTTCTTCGTTTCGATGTCGGCGGCAGAAGAGAGTACTTGCCGTACTCGCGCCTCCTTGTGTCCCCAGTTGGTCTCTGCGTCGGCGCCAGGTTCACCAATCACGAGTGGTGTTCGGTGAGCATATTGAGTTGCCTACTCGTAGGCGAGAGGAAGTAGTACGTGTGCGTTGTGTTGCCTACATCAACATCACAGCAACGCCACATACCCCCCCCCAAGTAACGGGTGACAGCTGTCAAAACGGCTGTCAGTTGTCATTCTCTGAAACGTGCGGGGAGTGTTGACCTGCGGCCTGACCTGGTAGTTTGAGTAACTTCCTGTGTTGGTACTGGGGATGGAGCCGGTGGTGGTTCTGGTTCTTGGAGAATAAAAGCGGGTTTTACTCTGTCGATATTCACTGTTGTTTCCCTACCGCCTACATTGACCTTTATTATCTTAGCAGTACGAGACAGAACAAGGTGTGGACCGGTGTAGGGCTGTTGGAGCGGTCTTCGCACGGTGTCGTCTCTTAGGAAAACATGGCTACATTTACTGAGCTCTGTGTGGACGAAGGTGCTTTGCCTAATGTGGTGCGACGCTGGAGTTGGGCGAAGTTTCCTCATGTGGTCCCGTAGTTTTTCTACAAAAGTAGTGGGTTCTACGGATCTGTCGATATTGCTAAAAAAGAATTCGCCTGGGACTTTCAGTTGCGTTCCGTAGGTCAGCTCTGCTGGTGAGTGTCCGATGTCTTCTTTGATGGCTGTACGTAACCCTAATAATACTGTAGGTAGAACGTCTAGCCAACTTTCCGCTTCATGGCACATGATGGCTGCCTTCATGGTTCGATGCCATCTCTCGATAAGGCCGTTGCTCTGGGGCCTATATGGCGTCGTCCGAGAGCGCTGAATGCCCAAAATTTTCGCCAAGGCATTCGTGGTGGATGCTTCAAATTGTCGCCCTTGGTCGGTTGTAATTTGTCTTGGGCAACCGAATCTTGAAATCCATGTTTCGTAGAATGTCTTGGCGACTGTCTCTGCGGTCATGTCGGTCATGGGTGCGATCTCTGGCCACCTGGTGAAACGGTCAGACATAGTGAGGCAATACCTGTAGCTTTGAGAGGGAGGTAGCGGACCTACTATGTCGATGTGCACGTGTTGGAACCGTTCTGTGACGTCATCGAAATGCTGTAATGGGGCTTTGGTGTGTCGGCCAACTTTGGATCGCTGGCAAGGGATGCAGCTTCGTGCCCACTTCATTATGTGACTCTCCATAAATGGCCACACAAATCGCTTCTTGATGAGCTTACTGGTCGCTCGGCCGCTGGGGTGTGAGAGGTTGTGAAATCCTTCAAAAATTACTTTTCTCGAATCTTGTGGAACGTATGGTCTGACCACCCCCGTTGACGTGTCACACCAGATAGCCTTCTGGCCGGCCTGTGGGGTGAGTTTTTCTAACTGCAGGCTTGTTGTATCAGAGTTTAAAAGTGTTTTTAGTTCGGCGTCTTTTTCTTGTTCCTTGGCTAAGTCGTCGGTGTCAATGAACGTAGGAATTGTGATTTCATTGACCCTTGAAAGTGTGTCTGCAACTGTGTTTTGTTCACCTGAAATGTGGATAATGTTGGTAGAAAACTGGCCGATGAAATCTAGCTGCCTGACTTGTCTTGGGGATGCTTTGCCTGCTTTCTGCTGAAACGCGTAGACGAGGGGTTTGTGGTCGGTGAGTATGCAAAAGTCTCTGCCTTCCACCATGTGCCTGAAGAATTTTATGGTTTCGTAGACTGCAAGCAGCTCACGATCGTATGCGCTGTAGTTGCGCTGCTCCTTGCTAAGTTTTCTGGAGAAGAAACCTAAAGGTTGCCAGGTCCCATTGGAGTGCTGCTCTAGTACGCCCCCGATTGCGTAATCAGAAGCATCGGTGATAATTCTGAGCGGCAGATTTTCGGCGGGATGTGCCAGAAGCGCGGCGTTGGCTAACTCTGTCTTGCACGTTTCAAAAGCAGCTTCAGCTTCCTCTGTCCATTCGACTATTGTTTTGTCATTCTTCCGCGCGCTGTTCAGATATTGGTGAAGTGGTGTTTGGGTCTGGGCTGCGTGGGGAATGAAACGTCGGTAGAAGTTGATCATGCCAAGGAACCGTCGCAGATCTTGAACTGTCTTTGGTTTGGGGAATTCGCGGATTGCACTGACCGACGTCTCAAGTGGTTTGGTTCCACTCCCGGAAATCGTATGTCCTAAATATTTCACTTCGGCTTCACCAAACACGCACTTGGTCGGGTTAATCACTATGTGATGCTCCCGTAACCGAGAAAATAACATTTTTAGATGTTCGACGTGCTCTGCTTCATCTCGGGAGAACACTAAGATGTCGTCTATATACACGTAGCAGAAATCAAGGTCACTTATTAGAGAGTTCAGGTGTCTTTGGAAAGTCTGCGCGGCATTACGTAGTCCGAACGTCATAACTGTAAACTCGAAGAGCCCGAACGGAGTGCACACGGCTGTTTTAGGAACGTCTTCTTCAGCCACGGGAATTTGATGGTATGCGCGCACTAGGTCTATGGTGGAGAACACACTTTTACCTTCGAGTCTGTAGGTGAAGTCCTGTATATGAGGGATGGGGTAGCTGTCAGGCACTGTCACGTTGTTTAGGCGCCTATAGTCGCCACATGGACGCCATTCACCAGGGAGTTTCTTTGGGACAAGGTGAAGCGGACTAGCCCAAGGGCTCTTGGATGGTCGGCACCAGCCCTGTTCCATCATATATTGGAATTCGGCTTTCGCCACTCTCAACTTCTCGGGTGCAAGCCTGCGAGGAGCTTCTGCGACCGGGGGACCTCTGGTGATGATGTGGTGGAACACGTTGCCCCTGTGCTTCGTTCCAGGTGGCGGTGGGCGTGTAATTTCTGCGAAATCCGCTAGCAGTGCGTGATATGGCGTCGTCTTGGCCAC